TGCAAATTAGGCCTATTGTGCGACCATTTCCCACTCATTCAAATGAATCAAGAAGTCTGACAATGCCATGCGAGGGTGTGGATCAATAAGATCTCTTTGCTGCGGGAGTATAAGTGTCACAGACACTCTGGGAAACACTTGGGCATTATCTTGCAAAGTTGAATGTTCACATATCCAGTGACTCAGCAATTCCACTTCTAGGACTATAAACTCTTGCAACTGAACACCATATGAACAGTACCGCTCATAGAAATACTGTCCATAATAGCAAAACCACAAATAATTTTCAGAAGAAGGAGGAGGATAAATAATGTTGGAATTTCATATAGCAATGAAACGGATATACTAGAGCCACATGCAACAATATGGACAATCACATGCAATAATCTTTCAGAAAAATAAAGTTAAAAACTACAACTAAACAATATACCTTTTAGAATGCATAGGTTAAAAAAGAAACAAAAAACCAAGGGAATAAACAAGACAAGAGTCAAGATAGTGATTACCTCTAGGAGGGAGGCAGAGGGATGGAGTGGCTGAGAACCACACAGGTAGTTAATGTTCTACGCCCCATGTTGGGTATGGGTTAGTCTCTGCTTATTATATTCTTAAAAGGAAGCTAAGGAATGAATAAAAGAGGGGCATGCATGGGCCAAAGATGAGATCTTGTCATGAACCAAAGACTATAGCTAATCTAATTCTGGACACCTGAGAGAAAAAGGAAACAATTAAAGACTAGCTGCGACTTTTTTTGAAGAAGAAAAAGGTGGGAGGACTCCCTCAACTGGTTATCAAGACTAAAGCCAAAGGGTCACCAATTATGATGTGTGGGACGTGCAGTATGAATGGCAGGCAGCATGCGTGGAATTTTGGTTCGTCACTTTTGAAATCAAGGTCAAGTAGAACGGGTACCTTTTATTTTTTCCATGAAAGAAGGAAATGATGAGACACCAAACTTGAGAGCAGGAGGCATCCAAGCCTGGTCAGCTTTGCCCTTGATGTCCCCACTTACTTTTCGTTTTGTAGTGAAAGTCCCAGGAGTGTTTTTGGGCACGTCCACCCACTTGACTGTGCGCATTCGGTCATCCCAGTCGGGGACCTGGTCTGTGGGGAGCTGAAACGTGATCCTGGAGAGCTTGCACTTGACCCGCATCTTCTTCAGGTTGATGGGCACGTCTGACTTCATGGTCACCACTACATCCTTGGCACACCCAGGGTGGAGGTGGCCCACCTGGGGAAAAGCCTGGTATTAGTATTTTTGAGAATTCAATCTTGAGGACTCTTGATACCTGCTGGTGATATTCCAGAGAAGGGATGGAGCCAAAAGTCTTGGCAAAAATGCATCAGTCAAGCCTGTATATGTAGATTGACTCTTAAACATGTATAAGAGGTTCTTAGATAGAAATGTAATCATAACAAGAGGAGCAACTAATATTTACCAAACTGTTAACTTGCTCCAGGCACTATTCTAAATCTTTACATGATTCCACTAATCCCCACAACAACCCTATGAGAGGTGGAGCTCTTACTCCCGTTTTATGGACGTGAAACTTGCTCGAGGCCATTAATGTTGGAAGAGCTGGATTCACACCCAGGCAGTCTGGCTGCAAATGCCACACTCAACCACCTTACACTTCTTCATCAATACTATCTATACAGATTATGGCAGATGAATACAGTATACTAGCAGAACTCAGGAGGTGTTCTGGGGACCCTTGGGATCCCCAAGACCTTTTCAGGGGTCCATGAGGTCAAAACTATTTTCATCGTGATACAAAGATATTATTTGACTTTTTCAGTCTCATTTTCTCATGAGCATACAATGGAGCTTTCTAGAGGTTACATGCCATATGATGTTGCATCATATTGAATGCAAAAGCAGATATGAGAATCCAGCTGTCTTCTATGAAGCCAGATATCAAAGAAATGTATAAAAATGTAAAATAATGCAACTCTTCTCGCTCAATTTTTTGAAAATACAGCCATTTTCATGAAAATATGGTATTCATATGAACATGTAATAGGTGTTTACTATTGTATTTTAAAATGAACATGTACATGCTTTTAAATATTCTCAGTTTTAAATTCTAATATGGTAAATATTGATACACATAATGCACACAAACAAAAGCTCTTTGGGGTTCTCAATAATGTTTAAGAGCATAAAGGAGTCCTGAGACGAAAAAGCTTGAGAATTGCTGAAGCATAACCAGATATATGGAACATCCAATTTGGTCTGTAGAATAAACTCATTTATGATTTAGTAAACACACACACACACATATACCTACTTATCTACCATACATATGACAGTCCTATCATGTTTCTGCCCGATGAAACACTCTCCCTCTTCTGGAAAATGAGGGGAGAAGAGAGCTTAGTACTTCCCAAGGCATACGTGTGTGTGCATGTATGTGTTTGTGTATGTAAATGGACTATAAGAAGCTTATCTCTGCCTTCAAAAACAATGCTCAAAATTAGATTACCCTATTAGATTATACCATGTTTGTTTCCTGGCAGGTAAAATGCAGATAATACTAGTATTTACCTTCTTGGGTTGTTGTAAGAATTAAATGAATTAACCAAGTCTTAGAACTGTGTCTAGCATACAGTAAGCACTCAGTTTACACTAGCTACTATTTAGGGTAGGATTTGGGCCATGTTGGGGTTGGAATCTGTCAGGAAGATTCAAATGAACTTTATATCCCTCCAGGAAGCAAAACTTACTCCTAATAGCACTCAAAGATTTCAAAGTGACAAAGCAGAGTTTCCAACCTCCTTGCACCATCCCCCTAGAGTGCCAAACTTGAGCAGCCTCAGTGGCTGTGTGTAAACAGAGCAGGAGGCAGTGGAGACATCTGGGTGTCCCAGTGTCCTGGGAACTCAGATGCAAGCTGTCTATAAAAAGTAACTGCTGGTCAGAGGCAGTGATCTGCTACGAAGTTGTCCTAGGCTTTGTTCAATGGTAAGCTTTGGTCAGCAATTCCTAAAATGTGCTCTGTGAGATGCTAAAAGAAGAGGTTAGAAAATTCCACGTCAAACAAAGTTAACTAGGTTTTAATCTACTGAAGGATACTGGGAATCTTTAAGAGAAAGATGTAACTTGTGACATTTTCTAAAACTCAGTTGTCCACAGAACCCACCGCCCCCATTTTAGCTTTTGGTGAAGCACTTTTGAAGGAGTAATGCTTGAAAGAACACACACCTAGAGACACAGGTTCACACTGTGGGACAGGAAGACTGGGACCCGTGTTCATCTACACAGGCCTCCATGGAATTCCTCAACATCAGCCTAGCAACAGTCTCGGCAGACTTCGTTTTCTGTCTTCCCCTCTTAACCGGGGGGGACATGAACAGTGTCCTCAGTACCAGGTATGAGTGAGGATGGTCCCTGGGCTGCCTCCCAGCCTGAGGGGTCTCCAGCCCATTGCATGTGTCCATGGGAAAGGGCTGATAATCAGACAGGGGGTGGCTTAGGCCCAAGGGAGTCCAGGTAACAGTGAATGGTTTTCACTTACCTGTGGGGAGAAAGTCACTGTAGCTAAAACGGGCCATTCAAATCGTATCATGTTCACATGGCTGTGATTAGTGACCGTGAAGCTCACATTATAGCTGTTTCCAATGCGGCAGTCCCCAAACTGGATGTGGTCCACCAGGGAAGCTGGGGTTAGAAGCAAAAGGCTGGTGAGTCCTCCCTGGCCTCCTTGGAGGGCCTGCTCCCTCAGGAGGTAGTACCTGACAGACACTGTGCTTCACCCTGATTCATTGTTTATCTGAAGTTCAGATTTACTGAGGACTCTTGTATTCTGATTTGCTAAGTTTGCCAACCCCATTATAGGTATGAAATCTGATTTCTGAACTTAGGTTCACTGCTTGAGCCTTGACAAGAGAGAGTTCACCCTGTAGCCTCAAACAGGGGTAACACCCCAGACACGTGAGGAGTGTTGATTGCAATGCATGCTGTATAGACCATCTACTGTACACTCCAGCACTGTAATTACGCTCCTAGAAAAACTGTGGGACTGTGTTTATGACTCGCTGTATAGCAATCAGCCACATAACTAGGGTGCTTAACAATTGCTTTTTGATGATAACAATGAAGTATATGTTTCCTACCCCAAAGAATATGGGCAAGTAAATGAGGCTTTAGTGCTTGATAGACTGTAGAACAGCACTTTAAGCTTTAATACATATGCAAATCACCTGGAGATCTTGTTAAAATGTGGATTTGGATCCAGTAGGTTCCCAGTTCTAACAAGCTCCCAGGTGATGCTGGTGCTGTAATTTCATACTGATCATTGAGTAGTGATGCCGTGGAGAATGAAGTTCTAGAGGTGGCCCAAATCCATACCCTTCTAATTAAACAAGACAGGCAATGCCAACCCAAGCCAGCTAAAGGATACAGACAGGGAAAACTGCAAAGAGGCATTTATTCACTTATTAGCTGGACTGGAATTTGAATATATCAAACTATACACTCCCTAAGAGCAGGGACTTTCTTATTAATCTTTGCAACTCTGGGGCTGAGCATGGTACCTGGCACAGACACACGGGTGCTCATACACGTTCATTGAGTGAACACGAGAATTCATGGAAGGATGGATGCAGAGACGGAGACAGGCAAGACAGAGAACACAAGAATGAAGAGGAGATTCATTCTGAAATTCTCAGGAAGCTAGCCAACTTGTTATTTAAATTTCACTCTCGTTTCAAGTGACCCTAAAGCCAATACTTGTCAACAGCTCACTGCTGTTTCTCCCACCTGCCACCAAGTCGACCACACTGTTGTCCTCTACGAGCTCTGCAAGGTCAGAGATATTGGTGGCCTCCTGGCTGGCGGGAGTCACCAGCCCATGGATGTTGTCCAAGGTGATGTCATCCTCATAGCCCTCTCCCACCACATAGATGATGGTCTCCTCGTACTGGTTGTTGATCACTGACAGACGGATGGTGCCTCTGATCTTCCCAACCTTCTTGGGTTGGAAAAAGACATCAATTTCAGCTGTATTGCCAGGAGAAATAACCAGGGAGGCTGTGTGAGCTTTCTTTGCTGCAAAGAGAAAAGAGAAGATGTGATTGACAACCAGTTTAAAGAAATATGTACCCAGAAAGACCCTGGTAGAAGGGAAAGCAGCCCTAGCACGAGCATGAGCCCCAGCTAGAGGCCAGGGGTGACGAGATTGGGCCCTGAATGGTCCCCGAACCAACCAGCCACCAAGAACCACTGCTCTCTAGAAGCACCCTCCCCCCACTTACCTTTTTCATTTGGTTTGTTTTCCTCTGTGATGTAGATGTAGGAGGTAGTGGGCCTCCCTTTCAGCGAGAAGACTCCTAGCTGGTCGTGCAGGTCCACATGCAGCTGGCAGAAGGAAAGCAGGACTGAGAGCTGGGCTTTGAGTCTGGGCCGAGATATTGTGCTGCGTTTGGGTCAGGACCCCCAAAGGTCATTGTGCCTAGTATTCACTTTTTTGAGTTTCTTATTAAGGGAGGGAAATAGTAAATATTAGACCTGAAGGGGACAAAAGAAAATTCGGTCCGATCAGCCCTTGTTATCGAAGTGAGGAGCTGGAGGTTCAAGGAGTGTGGGTCATTTTTCCTGATCATGCAGCCAGGTGGTGTCAAAATGGGGTTTACAATGCCTGTTTTATTAACAGACAAAGTTGTAAGACATATGCTAAATTAATCAAATGGAAATGAATACTCGTAATTCTATGAGGGCTTCCATGAATGTGAATTCCTAAAAAATCAGTATCTCCTAGGTACAATGCATTAGTTGCCTGATATGTCATGTTGAGCATCCTATTAAGATAACAGAAAAAACAAGGTAGGCATTTGAGCTCCTTGGAGAAAGGGGTGGTTGCCGGCTCATTGTAAGGAAAATAAGACTAAAGCGGTACATCTGATTTGAGGTCTGAAAAGTAAGCAGACCTTGTTAGAAGACAGGAATTCTGGCACCACCATGAACAAAGTTAAATAATATAAAGAATGAGGCATGAAGAAGAAAAAATAGTGGTATCACATGGGAGGCAAAAAAAATTTGTATTTAGAAATAATTTTAATAAGAAACTATACAGAGGAATGATATGTAAGAAATAGTGACATAATAGAAGATCTAAATATATGGGTGGAAATCCTAAATGTTGCTCTTGGTAGAGAGTCTGCATACTCTAAAAGTAGAAATTCTCCCCAAATAATTCATAGGCTTTTCAATGGGATTTTTTTGAGGAACATTATAAAATATGCTAAAGTTGATCTGAGAGACTAAGAGGCAAAACTGTTCAGAGAAATGACAAAAACAGGGAGTGGGTGGGTAGGAATTCACTGAACTAGATGCTGAAATATTTTATACAGCCACAATAATGGAAACAATGCAGAGTAAGGGTAAAGTAGGTAAAGTGAATTCAAGAAAATACTAGACTAAACATACAAAAAACAATTTAAAAGCATCACAGAGCTAAGAAGATGATGAAGAGTAACTAGACTAAGATCTGTAAGAGCCTAGAAATCCAGAAAGGCCAGTCTGATTTTTTAGGCTCTTTTTGTCCCAGAGCACTTGCCAATCTGTAAGAGGTAGATGGGAGGCTTGTCTGTGCTTTTGATGGTCTCTTGGTGCTACGAGGGCAGAAGTCCAAGGCTGTGAAGCTAAGAGTCCTTTCTTTGCTCTTGGCTGGGACTCCAAAGTATGCACCAAAAGATGAAAGGTGAGCTGGATATAAACCAGCTTTCCCAGGGATAGCATTCCTGCTCTGAATCATCTGAGTAATCCAGAAAATATCAAACCCTAAATCTGGCTTAAGGTGATCCTGAATTTCTCGTGTCCCAAAATGTTGGGCAGGAGCAAATGAAAATTGTCTCTGAAGACAAAATAATTTCTAAATAACTTTTCAAATATAATACTCAACACATGATCAAAAGATATCCAGGCACATGAGGAGACAGGATAATACGGGCAAGAATGAGCAGAAATAGCAGATATCAGAAACACATCCACAGGGACTTTGGATTTTGGAATTATCAGGTATAGACTGCAAAAATGGCTATGATTACCGTGTTCAAGAAATAAAAGCCATGTCTGACAATTCCACCATGAATCTAGAAACCATAAAAATAAATTATTCAAATCTAAAAAATAACCTAATAGAAATTTTAGAACTGAAAAAAATAACAACCTAAGGACTCAATGGAAAGGTTTAACATCAGATTCAATATGGCTAAAGGGAGAGTTAATAAATTGAAGACAGGTCAGAAGAAATTATGCAGAATGAAGCCCAGAGAAAAATGAATGGAAAATACAGTGATGTTGAGAGATACAGAAGATACAGTGAGAAGGTCTTCCATACATTTAATTGGCATCCCAGAAGGAGAGATGAAAGAGAATGGAATAGATGCAATATTTGAAGACGTGTCTAGTAATTTGCCAAAATTGATTTGACATCGATCCATAGAATCAAGAAGTCTGGTGAATTCTAAGAAGGATAAATTTAGAGAAATCCATATCTAGACATATCATAGTAAAACTGCAGAGAACAAATACAAAGTAAAGATGTTAAAGACAGTCATCAGAGCAAAGAACGCCTTAAAAGAATATTGTGGACTTAAAGCTGACATGTCAGTAGTAACAATGGAACCCAGAACAAGTCGGAATAACATCTCTCATTTGCTGAAAGAAAACAACCGCCAACCAGAATTCTACAGCGAGTAAAAATTACATTAAAAATGAAGGATAAATAGAGATTTTCAAATAAACATGGAGAGAATTCACCACCAACAGACCCACATTAAGGAAATATTTCTGAGTGTTCTTCAGTTGATAGGAAAAAGATTTCAGATGGAAAACTGGATGTGCAGGAATGAAGAGCAACAAAAATGATAAATATATGGATAAATCTAAATGAGCTATAATGTGTAAACAATAAGAGCGATAACAGCAAGGACAATAGTAATAATGTAATATATACATAGAATCCAAAGCCCTGCACAGTCGCCCCATGACTCTCTCGTTTTGTCTTTATCTCCCTTTGCTCTTCTCCCTGCACCTCACGCTCCACGGAGCTCGGTGCTTGCTAGTTCCTGCCAGTACCGCACACTTGTTTTGCTTCTGGGCCTTTGCAGTTTTCTCTCTGTTCCTGGGATGCATGTACTTCACGCCCACTTGCTGAAACCCAGCTGTCCTTCAGTGTCCTGCTCAAATGTCATTTACAGTGAATTTGTCCTTTATGTCCTGGATGAAACCAGATCATTTTCAAGAGTCCTACAGTCCTTTGTATAACACTTCCACAATCTACCACTTTTTTTGGTAAAAATAAAACCATAATTTAATCATCGAATCAAAATTCCCTTTCGATGTTATATCTATCACCCCGATGAAGTTTTTTTTAATTGTATTTTCCTCATTACAAATGCATTGTTATCACAATGGATTATTATTAGGCCATAAAAAAGCATGAAATCATGTCACTTGCAACAACATGGATGGAACTGGAGGTCATTATCTTAAGTGAAATAAACTAGGCACAAAAAGACAAAGATCACATGTTCTCACTTATATGTGGGAGCTAAAAAAATCTGATCCCAGCGAGGTAGAGAGTGGAAAGACAGAGAACAGAGATGGGGAAGGGGGAGTGGAGGCAGGAGGCAGGATGAAGAGAAGTGGGTTAAAGGGTACAAACATACACTTAGAAGGAATAAATTCAACGTTTCATAGCAGAGTAGGGTGACTAAACAAAAATGTATTATACTTAGGAGATGGACCCCCTAAATATCCTGACTTAATTACAATGCATTATATACCTCTAACAAAATTTTGCATGTACCCTATACATCTTTACAAATAAAAAATTTTAAAAAATGCAACGTTTATTATAGAAAAAATTAAAGAAGATACTAAAATACACATAATCCTGCCCACTCACTGCACGTGCCTTGCACAGTGGCTATTAGTGTGTCGTGCAACCCGCATTCCCACATTCCCTGAGGACACAGACCGTGCCACATTTCCCTCTGCATGTCCCTTCCACACTGGTTAATGTACGGGGATGCTCGAAGAAGTCCCCATTAGGATGGCAGAGAGCCCAGTGGCAGAAGTCTAACTTCTGGATGATTCCTCCCCCTTTCCGCCCTGGGCTTCGCGCTCAGGCGGTACCTGGGCAGGGATGGTGCCGTTGTTCTTGAGGACGAGGGGCAGCTTCTCCGAGTGGCCAAGCAGAAGCCTCTTAAAGAGGAGCAAGGGGTTTCCATGCTGGTTGTGGAGAACGGGCCGCACAATGGTCACCCGAGGGAGGTTCCCGTCACCGGTGATATCAAACGTGAGTCCTCTGTTCTTGGCCAGGTTGCTGCAGGGATGGGAAGATTGAGGCCTGTCAGCCTGGCGTGGCCGGAATGACACTGCACAGAGAGTGTGGCCGTAGCCCTGCTGCACGGCAGGGAACTGGGAGCGGGTACCTGGGCAGGCCGTCCAAGGTAGCCTCAAAGATGCACTGGTAGGTCTGCAAGGTCTGCGGCGTGAAGGACACTGTGGCAAAGGCGTGTGAGCGACTGGCGATGCACATCTTGTTGGGTTCCACTTCAAAAATGTCGATGATGCGGGCGAAGGGCTGGCACAGAATAGAGAGAAAGCTGCTTCTTGGTGTCCCAAATAAGATCAGAGAATAATGAATGGATGTCACCAAGGCCTGAGGCAAGTCATAAAAGGGATTACATGGTCTCCTGGGAATGCACACTCTCTGTGTAGCCCTAGGCTGACACCAGCCCCCTCGGTGACCTCCCCACGACCCTCAGCTGTGACCACCACCAGCTCCGGGTCACAAGGACTTCCTGAGTCCAGATTGCACCTTTGGGCAGAGAAGTGAAGCAGCCGATATAGGACTGCACAGTATTTGCTGCACATTCGACTGGAAAATTAGGGTGACAGAAACCCATTGATTAAGCCCCCTCTCGATATTCTGAATTTTCTGTTCCGCTGTGAGGAAAACGGGTCCCAGTATGATCTGACTCAGAGGGAGAGGGCAGTTTCGAGTCTGGTGGACCCTGAGAGGGGCACTTGGTATTCACCTTGTACGTGGATGAAGCTTGGCTCTGGGACCTAGGGGAAGAATTGAGCCTTTCGGAGCTTTGGTTTCCCTAACTGTAAAATGGGGATGACAACATAAAGTCTGAAGAGTTGTCATGAGGGTGAAATGACATGAGGCAATAAATGTATTCAACAAATCAATCACTCAGCACAGTGCCTGTCACACAGGAGGGCTCAGCAAATGCTCCCCATTCCACCTTGCCCTTGTAATCCGATACCCCCAAGACTCCCTTAGCAGAAGAACATGCAGTTGAAGGTCGAAGCTGGTGCCTGTCTCCGGCTCTCCCCCAGGCTTTGTCTATTTAGGCACGCAGGGTGCATTTAATGGGTGAGTGAGCTGCTCACTGGCGCCGACCAATGTATCACAAGGGCACGAGAGGAGACACCCCCTGGGACAAACGTATGGCCCTTGGTGTAGGGGACATCGCCCAGTTACCGCACATAACTTGTAGCACAGCCTGAGAGCCAGATCATTCCCACTCATGTCTTGACGCCCCAGAGCAGTGGCTTCTTGGAGCTTTTGCCCTGGCTTTATGCCAGCCACGCTGGGCTGGGGCCACTTGGAGCTTCTTACCTTAGTGGAGACAGGCTTAACTACAATGCTGACATCACAGGCGATCTTCCCCACATTGCTGATCTTGAACCGCGCCTTGGCCTGATGGCCCACCAGGACATTGCAGAAGACGAACTTATTCTCATCCTCCACGAACAGCCCCCCACTCTCTATGGTCTGCAGGATGTGGTGTAGGTTGGGGCTGGTACATATCTGGTGCTCCTCAAATATCGAGGCAATGTTGTCAGTCACAAAGGCTGGGGAGTGAAGGGAAGACCGTGAGACGCTGCCCCATGGCCAGATTCCGGCTCTGTAATTCCTAATTTGGAGCTTTGGATTCTCACAAGGGAGAATCACAGAGAGGTAACGGAATTCACACAAGGGAGTGTGAGTGATGGGACAAATTCTATCGTGTCTTCCTCTTTTGTATTGTTCTTGCTGGTTGCCATGTCCCAATCGGCCATTTGCTCCCAATGGTAAGATCCGAGATCTGGGGTGGGCTTTGGAGGGAAGGAGGCATCTGGCCCACTTTGTGTTCGGTGCCACAGCCATGTCATCAGGACTCTCAGATAACACTATTCATCTGAGAATCCAGGCCCAGATTCGAAAAGGCCAGGAGTTTGAAGCTGCATATCCTCTCCTAGGTATGCATGCCTTGGAAAAATATGGCTGGAGACACTAGAGGAAGTTCTAGGGTCCCAAGCAAGCAGCCCAGCCACATCTGCTTGACATCTTTGGAGAAACTTGCCTGAAGGGGAAGGCTGTTACAAATGAAAGTCTGGTAAGTGGTACTGTCCAAAGTGAGTGGCCAGTACCTGGCAGACAGGCCTCAGCCAACAGGGTGTAGGGAATGCCGGAAGGCTGGTCTCTCGGGTCTCGGTCGGAGATGTCAATGGCTATGAACTCCTCACATCTTCCCACGGGGTCAGCCACACAGTCAACGGTGATGACCTGCTGTCCACCAGAAGAGACGGAGCCAAACCCAGGGTACACGGTGAACATGCCGAGGGAGAAGCGGGCCTGCAGGACAAGGGCGGGAAGGGGAGGGATGGAGGCAGAGTGGGTGACAGTCTGAGACCTTCGCCAGGGCTGTGAGGTGGGGTGAGAAGGGAAAGGGGGCCTTTCCCCACAGGCATTCTCCGGCCCCTGCACTTCTCCTGGAGTGCCTCCTTCCATGCACTTTCCTTCTGGCCAGTCACATTTGATCCGAGGGTTTGAGGGGACAGATAGTCCCCACATCATACAACACTTCTCCACCCAGGTGGGAATCGCGACCAGAGGGGTGTGAAATGGAATAGTGGTTATCATTCGAGTCGGATACTCCTGCATTTGCAGCCCAATCCTGCTATATATTAATTGGTTTATCTTGGACAATTTCCTTCTCTGAGTCTCAGTTTATTTAATCTATAAAATGGGGCTAAAGTTCCTACCCCAGAGATTTCTGGAGGTTTAAAGAATAGGTGTGAAGTAAGTAGCACAGCATCTGGCAAAGGATTAGTACTAAAAAAAAAAAAAAAAAAAAAAAGGATGTTGGTGTCCTTAGCTGACTGGCTCTTCCCCCTCCCACTTGTAGTTTTTGGGATAACTGTAGAATGTGCTGAGAATGCCGTGCCCTGAGACAAAGAGGAACTGTCCGGAATAGCCCCGGCTTTGTCCTCATCCCTCCTAGAACAGGATGCCCTGCAATTAGCTCAGAGAGCCAAGTTTCTCTGCGGTATAAAACACAGGCCAGAATGCTTCTGGCGTCTTCCAGCTGTGGTGCGAAGTGGGGCACGCACAGAAAAGACTCCACCTGCCCTGGGCAGCTTTCTTGAGCCTTAAGGGACCAGCTCACCACAAATCCTAGGCTTCTGTAGGTTCTTGCTGCCTACGTGTGAGCGGTAAGTTGGCTTTGCACGACTCGTGCCAGTGTTCTGTCTCACTGGATTCATGCTCTGGCAGCTGGGATTTGTGCAGGGCCTCCTGCTAGATTTAGAAACCTTAGCAGAAATTAGCGAGGTGGTTAGAGTCCTCCCCTGGGAGCAATACAAGTGCACGGTATTGGCGAGGTGTTCAGAATCCTCCCCGGGGACTCATCCCGAGGCATGGCAGTAGCGTGTGCTCCTCTGGTTGTCAGGAGCTTTCCTCCTCTCGCCCGGTTTCAGAGTGCTGCCAAGGGGCAGTCTTACTTAGCGTCGCCCTCTATACCATCCCCGAAACCTATCACAGTGG